AATCAAAACAAATGATTAAACTCAATTATCTCAAAATAAGATAAATGTAAAAATGGGCCCTTTTAATACGGAGCACTCCATTTTATATTCTAAAAAAGTGAAAATATGATGTGGCAATATAGTAAAATGGTAGAGTTGTCACACTCCCAAGCTATATTAATCAAAGATACGGAGTTCGAATCTTACTAGTGATATATAAAATCTTTTGTATTATGGTAACAGATTTTCATTAATTAGTTAGGTTAATTACCTGTAACTCTGGTCATACTATTATCATTGAAATATTAGAAGGTTCTAGAGCTTTCATATTATACAAAAGAATACAAACTGGTTTAGATAGTGCAAATCCAGAATAAGTCTCTAAAACTGAAAGAGAACTAAAAGAACTAAAACTAGCTTGGCAAAACCCAAGTTTAGAAAGTAGTGAGGATATGATAATACTATAGAACAGAATCAGACCAACTAAAAATTTGGGAGATCTAGATAACAAGACCCTTATAAATTTAGGGTTCTACCAACCTGGCCACCAGAGTTATACCAAAGAAAAAGAACATGTGCTCTAAAAGCATATACCAAGGAAAGGAAGACTATAAAATACTTAAAGCCTAGGCAGGCCAACCTTATTGAGCCAACTGGTTTGGAAGTTTGATGAAACCAAAAACTTAGTTTGTAAAGAGGAATATGAAGTAGGTATTTGGTTCAAGAATAGCAAACCTTCACAAAGGCAAAAGCAGTTTAATAGGATAATAAACAAATGTTAGAGAACTGCAGATTTGATAAAATTCTACACTACAGGATTAGGGATCTAGGATGTCAAATGATGAACTTAATAGCTTGATCACAACTGCAAGTAAGAGCTTTGGCAACTGCAGAAAAGTTATTGTGAGTAGGTACACAAAAACCTAAAATTAGACTATCTTGTAATTACTTCTAATAGAATTAGGTTGAGGGTAAATTAGAAATACTGTAGATACTTAAATATATCTATATAGGTAGATCTTAAATATAGATAGTTAAAACATAGCTCTATGTTTTATATACAATTAATTAAATTATATAGTTCATACAGTATACTATATAGATTAATATACAGTCAGACCTCGTTATAGTCACTCTCAATATAGTCACAAACTCGTTATAATCACTTTTTTTTTATTACCAACTAAATTTATATTAGATTAGTCTCGTTATAGTTACAAATTTACTATAGTCACTATCACATAACTTTTTGTAACGTACCTTAGTAAATTTACCTCAATATAATTACAAAAAAAAAATTGAGTTAAAACAATTAACATAAAAAATTGCCAAAATTCTAATTAAAATAATTAAAGTTATTGATTCAAATCAATTAAACTTTATAGCTTAACTAAACTATTAAATTTTTATTAACTGCTTAAATTTTCACAATTTATTTAAAAGAATCTTCAATAAATATTTATTTTGTTAAGCTCAGAGATAGCAAATAACTAGCGTACTAAATTTGCCAATTTAGAAATTATTGAAAGCTACAAATCTTCTTCTTGATACATGATATCAACATTGATTATTACAACTAGCCAGCTAAAATTATCAGCAAGTTAATAATCGAAGTATTGATTAGTATGCTAGCACATTCATTAAACAAAAATGCCTAGCTGGCAAATTTGTTATAAAACTTTGTTGTTTATGCCAACTCATCATCGATAAATTTCAACCTGAAATCTTGAAAATAGCTCTGTAAATTGTACAAAGTTAAATTCTCTAATTGTACAATTTAGCAAGTCGATACAGTAAATAGACAAAATTATACTTCCCAATTAGTAAAAGGACTAACACCAATTGGCATAAACCCGTAACAATATCAGCTCATGAGGTAATCTAGAGCTCTAATCCTAATTACCTGAATCACATCTTTCCATCGAAGTTTTCTAGAACTATTACATGCATACTGTGTGTGTACCAAATTACCCAATACAATGATTTTCATTGTGAAAATACTCAATGAAATACAGTAGTATGAATTATTCCATGCTGAAATACCCTGATTAATCGATAGTGTATGCTGCATTCTTCAGAGCGGATTCAAATATCGCATGTTAGGAAACAATAGGTAAAGTTAACAGGGCATAATGGTACCATACACAGGTTGAATTAATGAATATCGGGTGCATACCGGGAGACAGGTTTCCTGTTATGTACCACCAAATACCTGCTGAATATCAGCAGCATATTGGCAGAATATTAATAAGATATTCAGCAAGTATATGGATCTATAGCAGACTATCGGGTACATAACTAGAAACTTATCTCCTGACATGCACACGATATTCATTGATTCAACCTGTGATAAATTCTCGAAATAGTGGGCAGGGGCGTTATTTCGAAAATCACGCCCCTAAAAATAGCATAAGTGGTTTCGAAATAACACCCATGCGCGTTCCGAAATAGCGCGCACCTCGAAGAGCAAGTATCAGGTAAATATCAGAATACAAAACTCCCGATGTGCACCTGATTTACCGCTAAATATAGCATATCGGTAGCATATCAGAAGTCTTGTATCCGATATTTACCTGATACTTATTCATTCAACCTACATCAGGGATGGTAAAATTAGAAGTCATTTGCCTTTTTTTCAAATGACCTAGGTCATTTCAGACTAAAATTCATAATAAAATTGGAGTCATTTGGGGTCATTTGAAGGTCATTTACCATCCCTGACCTACATTAGTAACATAGAATTGCAGAATTAATCCTTTATCTCAAAATAACGCCCATGGGCATATTCGAAATAACGTGCATGTAGTCAAAATAGCGTGCAGATACCCGCTATTTCGAGAATTTACGGTACAAAGAAAATAATAATACGTACCATCTTCATTTACCTAATTAAGGATTATTATAAGGCCCAAATATCTAATTGAAAACATGTGAAATAGTCCATGATCACGGTCAGCAATTTTGCTATCCATTGAGGAAAAAAAAGGCCAATGGAGTGAATGGAGCTCGATGGGTAAATATCCATTGAGCTCCATTCACTCCATTGGCTTTTTTTTTTTCAATGGATAGCAAAATTGCCAACTCTGCTCACAACTCGTGTTCCAGTGATTTTGCCAATGCTATACAAGACGGACCGAAAGTACTGACCAAGTGTGAAAAAAGAAAAAAGGTGGGTAACAAGAGATTCCGGAATAGGCTGTGTTGCTTGTGAAAATCTAGAATTTAAATAAGACATTAGATTCACAAGGAAAGGAGGAACTGATAAGATCAAATGCTCAGGAGATAAAAGGAAAATAGAATTAAAATATTCCCATCGCATATTGATATGGGCAAAATTGCACATTTTAAGAATTATGTGCAGGGATGCGCATTAAATCACATACGCATCAATGAAATCCTTACATGTGTACATAGACCATGTATTTATTCTCCTGCAATTTGGATTTAAGATGTTATGTACCTAAACAGTTATAAAAAGAGCGATTTTTAAGTTAATAAAAATGTTCAGCCAAGTCTTAACTCAAACAATAATAAACATTTTCCAGTTTTCATTTTTTTATTACTTATTATCATTTTTTTATTTTCTTTTTCATTATGCTTCCTAGCCCGGTACCCAAAAAAACACGTAGCCAACTAACTAATGCCCAGCGCAAACAAATTTGTGAATATTCAACTCAGAACCCATCAGCAAACCAACAAGATATTGTAGATAAATTTAAGAGAAGATATCCAGAATTAAATCTTGATCGATCAACCGTTTCTAAAATTTTTAAAAAAAAAGATCAGTATCTACAACTTGAGGAAAATATTGAAACACAAAATCGTTATAAAAATAGAGGTCCAAAGTATCCTTTAGTTGAAAAAGCGATGAATATTTGGGTTGGTCAAGTTTCAGCTGCCGGTCTAGTTCTCACGGATGAATTAGTGAAATCAAAAGGTCGTGAGTTCGGAAGACTTCTTGGCATTTCTGAAAATGAATTGAAGTTTTCGAATGGGTGGATAACTAACTATAAAAAACAAAACTCTTTACGTCGGTATAAACTACATGGTGAAGCTGCAAGTGCACTCCTAGAATCTCTGCCAAGTGAAAGAATAAAGCTTCAGGAACTTCTTTCTCAATATGAGTTGGAAGATATATATAATGCTAATGAAACGGGGTTGTTTTATCGAATGTTGCCAAATCAGACATTAGCGAAGCAACCTGTTGCCGGGTCAAAACAGGTTAAAAAAAAAAATTAGAACTAAAAATAAATAAATAAATATAATTGATATGTTATTTATTATAGGATAGATCACGACTTACAATATTACTCGCTGCGAATGCAACTGGCTCACATAAACTTCGGCCTCTTGTTATCGGTTATTCAAAAAAACCACGAAGCTTCAACGGTATAAACTTGTCACAACTCCCTGTTACCTATAAAAACAATAATCGGGCATGGATGAAAACAGATATTTGGGAAAAATGGTTGAAATATATTGATTCTGACTTTCGCATCCTAGATAAAAAAATTTTGCTTCTTGTAGATAATGCCCCTTCTCACAGTCAACCTGAATCATCTAATCAAGTGAATGAAACATCTAATGCCGCAGAGAATGATAGTTATCAGTTAAATTCTGATGAAGATATGATGAACAATTTCTCCGGGTCTAAAGATGGTGATAGAACTGAAGGAAGGTTACTTGAAGAGCAACAAAGGCCACGCGGAAAGACACGCGGAAGACCATGTGGGAGTTCACGTGGAAGTTCGCGTGGAAGTTCACACGGAAGTTCTTCGCGCGGAAGACCATGCGGAAGTTCTTCGCGTGGAAGACCACATGGAAACCAAGGAACTGCCCACACCAATTCTCGCAAAAAAAAAAAAAGAACCCTCAAAAACACTGAAACTTACAAATATTACTGTACATTATCTTCCACCCCACACGACCACGCACCTCCAACCAATGGACGCCGGCATAATCAAGTCATTCAAGTCTAAATATAAACGCCTATACTGCGAATATGTTCTCAAGCAATTCGAATCTAATGCTGATATAGAAAAGTTTGTATAATGAGATGAGAGATTTCAAAATTAAAAAAAAAAGCATGCTTCAGAAATAAATAAAAGTAATATAAATGGCCATATAAAAGACCCGGGTATGTTACATTCTACCAATTTTAAAACTTATAGTAGACCTGAGATGTAGTACATGGCTGAGAATTTGTGTTATAGAGAGTAAAATTTGAAATGAATACACCCTTTGCATTTACAACATGCAGTCCAGAGAATTACATTTTAATAAAGATCCTGAGATCTGCACCCGGGTTACTAGTATCGGTTTACTATTCGGGAGGATCTTTTATATGGCCGTTTACAGTACTAAAAATATTATTTGCGCTTCAAAATTTTGAAATTAAAAAAATAAAATGGGAATATTAGAGATCCATGTTGCATGAAGTCAGTTAAACTTGTTGAAAATAAATAAAGTTGACAAACACATTATCTATTACAACCAAATTAGATTCCTACATTTTAATTTTGAAACTCCTCAATTATTACATCTCGTTATTGTTTGAACTAACTTTGATTTTTTTTTTTTCCTACAGAAAAAAAATAATAGTGAAAAAAGCCATTGATTTCATTGCGGAATCATGGGACAATGTAAGTAACACAACTATTCAAAACTGTTGGAACAAGACAAAAATTCTTCCAAACACAAATGAGGCAAACGTAGAAACCACAGATCAACATACCAGAAGTGATGCTCTATTAGAAAATGAGAAAATCGAAGAAATAGTTGCAAGATTACCAGATGAAAGCTTTTATGCGCCGGAGACTGCCCAAGCCATATCAACGTATTTACAAATAATTGATGAATCTATTGCTACAGAAGAACTACTCAATGATAAGGAAATTGTTTCTATGCTTCAAGCTGAGGAGAATGAAGAATTAATAGGACAAGAAGATGAGGATGAAGATGAGGAACCTGATCCACCCGTAACAGCAGTTGAAGCATACGATGCAATGCAGACCATTGTTCACTATGAAGAACAGGAAAGTTCAGAGTCAAATCTCTCTCTTGAAGAATTAGGATTTTTAAGAAAACTACTCAGGGAATATAAATGTGTATATGAAAAGTCAAAGAAACAAACCAAAATTACTAGTTTTTTTAACTTTCAAGACTCACGTTTCTATTCTCAAGATTCACCCTTTCAAGACCAATATTCTCAAGATCAAGATTCACATTTTCAAGATCCGTATTATCAAGATACATATTCTCAAGATATGTATTCTCAAGGCTCATATTCCCAAGATTCGGATTCACAAGAATTATATTCGCAAGATTCGTATGTTCAAGATTCGTTTTATTCTCAAGATTCATATTTCTAAATATAAATAGGTAAATAATGTTATTAAAGCATAATATGAATTAAATTAATCATTTTTATTCAAATCTTAACGATCTTTTTATAGATAGTTATCTTCACATGATCTCTAGCTGTAATTAATGTTTTAATTAAAATCATACGTTAGGCTTAAAGTAGTTAGGTTGTGTCGCAGTAGTAGTTATTATTACCTTACAATAACCCTGTTTCAAATTTAACTATTACATTAGTACTATGCTTTTAGTTCACGAAAATATTGTATAAGCTAAAGATATATGTCAAGATCGTGCCTTTAACATTATAGATTGGTACAGTAAGGCTAATCAATATAACATTATATAAATGCCAGAAGTAATAAATAAATGGCATATGTTAAGAGAAACTTATATGTACGTACGTACGTTATCTGAAAATAAAGGCATATGTTAAATCAAAAAGCCCGAAAAAATTTATATAATTAATTATATATATATATATACTTTATATAGTCACGAGATTTTTTTATTTACTATACAAGTGACTATATAGAGGTTTTTTTAATATAGTCACACTCTTCTATAGTCACCCGAATTCTGTATCCCAAACCTGTGACTATAACGAGGTCTGACTGTAATTAAAAATTTTTAATATAAGTATAAATTAAACAACTCTCTCCATCGATCACCAAAACCAAAATCCGAGCTAAAGGAAAACCCAGGCTCGGTCACAACTTTAATAAGACAACAATAGAAATAGTTCTAAGGGAAAAAACCAAGCACAAGAAAACAACTTAAGTTTTTTAGAACAACTTTGCTCACTACACCCTCCACAGCTTGCTATCGGAAAAATTATATATTTTTGATAAAAATTTTTAGAATCTTTAGAACTTTTGGGGGAATTGCTGTTGACCTCGTACTGCAGATCACAACCAAACAAAACAAACAAACACGCCTACTTTAGGTAAACAAACAAACAAACCAAGCAAAATCGGCAGACAATCAATCAACACAACAAACCATCACACGTATTTTTCTTTTTTCAACAACAAACAATACACATAAAATGCTAGAACTGAGTAATTATAAAAATTTTTTCAACAAGGCAGAAAATGAAAGAGCAGTAGTGCAAGAAGAGCAGAATAAATTTATACTTGAACAAAATAGGAAAGTCACAAAATATCTGGGTACTAGCGAAACCTATCTTATTGCAATCATACGCAATGTTTTACAACAATTCGACTATGCTCAACACAAGCTAATAAGGGAACAACCCTTAGAAAAAGAAGAAATGTTGCTGTTAGAGTATACAAATAATAATTCAATGCAAATCGAGAACACAAATAAATCTAAATATCAGGAGGACAGCACTAAAATAAAAGTAGAATCCTCCCTTATGGAAGATCTAATTATTCACCCAATCAAACCCTTCTATTTAATCAAGATCGACACAGAACTCGAGAGAAAAGAAATATTAGCATGGAATAAAAGCAAAGTCAAAACAGAGCCACTTTCTATAGAAACTACTCCAGTGAAAATAGTTATTGAAGCCGAAAATAGCTTGTGCAATATAGAATTAGAATTACAAAACAACCCCAAAAAGAGAAACCTAAGAGAACAAGAAAAGGCAACACACACTTTAGAGGATCATCAAGAATTAGCCAAAGACTTATTATTAGAAAAGAAATGTAGTACACTTGACTACGGCCTTGAAGATCTTATTAAAGAAAAGACGCAAGCAAATCCAAAGCACATCAAACAAACAAGTCACAAGAAAGCTAAACAACATGAAGACATCTACAATTTGGATTGGGCCCCGAAAACCAAAATTGCATATCCAAAAGTCTCCACCCTAGCTACATTTTTCTTTACAATCTGGGATTTATCAAAAGACATAAAAGTATCTATAATCAAATCACACCTGAATGTATATGGTATAGTGACCATTATTGAATGGCAGCAGAACTTCAAAACAAAGGCTGCATTTATCAAAATTCTACCAAACTCAGAACAAAAAGAAAAATCTTTAAGAGAA